CTAACTGCATCCAAAGCTAATTTACACATTAGATCACTCCAACGACTTGCAAATTTTGTGCCAATAGAACTTTTAATCAATTTAAGCATCTCTTCATGATTATCAATATCAACCGGTTTAGAAATTTCACCAATAATATTTATAGCATCTTCTAAAGCCTTTTTAAAAGCAGATATAATGACAATTGGATGAACATTACGTTCAAGGAATGGTAATGCTTGTGCAAGTACTTCACCAGCTAAACTTTCCAATTTTAAAAAAAAATCAGCAAATGATCACTTTTAATAAACAATAAGCCTCAATTAATAATATGTATATATATAGTATTTTTCTTCTTTACCCAAAATAATAACACTAGTTGTACCATCACCAACTTCTTCATCTTGTGTTCTGCTTAATTCGATCATACTTTTTGCAGCTGGATGAGCCACTTCAACTTCACGGAGAATAGCATTACCATCATTAGTAAGAACTACTCCGCCCATTGGATCCAACAACATTTTAAGCATGGAACGAGGACCAAGACAAGTTCGAATAATGTCAGCCACTGTCTAATATTTAAAAAATAAAATGAAAGGAGGGAGGAAAGGAGGGAGAAAAGAAGGGTGTTCATAACAATAATAATTTTTTGGGATCAAATCGACTTCTATTCCAATGATATTAATTAATAAGATATTTAAATAAAAATTTTTTTAATATATACTTTTGCGGCTGTTATATTAGAGACTTGGGCTTTTCGCCCAGTTTCTCTATTAACATTGGTATCTATATAATTGTTATCAATTTAATATTTTACTTTGATAAATATGGTAATAGTTATAAATAATTTAACGGGCTTACTCATTACAATTACTGGCGCCTGCATCTTTTTAATATTGATATTTTTATTTTCTTGATGTAAAAAAAATAGAGAAAATTAATTTTGATGTTACATGTTGATCTGTATATCAGATATCAATTCTTGTGGATCTTACGTGGATAAAAAATAAAAAATTGACATGGCACAATTTACAATTTACCAAAAACCAACACCCAACCCAACCAATCACGAGGAAAATGATGTAATTTTTCAACGAATAATTTGATAACAGAATCCTTGGGTTCTTCTTTGAATATCCATTCGGTTAGCCATTAATATTGATTATTAATATTAAAGTAAATTAAATAGAGGCGGGACGCTATTTTTTTTTAAATTTGCCCTGAAAATTTCTTTTTTACCAATCAACTAGGAAAGATTAAATAAGTGTTATTTATTTATTATATTGATTGATCTTTTAAATCATGGATTTTTTCGATTGATTTGAAATGATTAAAATAATTATCAAAAACGGTGTAACATAAATAGGTATTTAAAATCTACTAATATAAAATTGGCCTTTTCAGATTTTGTTGTTGAAATTTTCCTGGAATACTAAAATACAATAAGATATACTCATTAAAAGACATAATAAATTAATATAAAATTATGGATATTGAAGAATTTCGTAAAAGAGGATATGAGACAGTTGATAGAATTTGCAAATATTATCAGGAAATTGATAACTACGATGGTTTGAACTGAACAATTACTATTATTACACCACCACCACCACCATTATTACTATTATTAAAGAAAAAATAAAGGACTTTGATTGACCCTTATATAATCCTTGAAATCGTTTATTATTTTACTTTTATTTAGTTATATCAAAAGTTGAACCTGGTTATCTCGAGAAGCTTCTTCCGGATGAAGCACCCGAAGGTGATTTATTAATATAAAGTATTTTTTTATTGTTATTGTTATCAATTACAAAAGTTTAATTTCTTTCTTAATAGATCCAGAATCATGGGATGAAATTCAATCTGATATAGAAACAAAAATTTTTCCTGGTGGTATGTAGTCATCAAGATATTTTTCTTGAAAATAATTATTATCAACTGATTGATTGATTGATTGATTGATTGATTGATTAGTTACGCATTGGCAAAGTCCAAATTTTTTTGCATTTTATCCGGCAACATCGTCGTTTCCAGCAATTCTTGGTGATATGTACAGCGACATGTTTAATTGTATTGGATTCAATGTAAGAATTTATTTTTTAATAAACAGGCTACAGACATTTATTTTTTAAATTAAATATTAAATATTTGTCTTTTGTTATGTTTGATTGAATAGTGGATATGTTCACCAGCTTGTACAGAATTGGAAACCATTGTACTTGATTGGATGGCTAAATTAATTAATTTAGACTCTAGTTTTCTTAGTAAAGGGAAAGGTGGTGGTGTAATTCAAGGAACTGCCAGTGAAGGAATCTTGGTTGCATTGATAGCAGCAAGGCAAAGAGTACTAGATGAATACAAAAATAAGGGTCTTAGTGAAAAAGAATTGGACGAAGTTTCTGTACGGCTGATTGCGTATGCTTCAGATCAAGTAAGATAGCCGGTGCATGTATATTATGTATACACACACACATATATATATTTATTATATAACAGATTAATACTATATAATGTTAAAAATAGGCGCATTCCGCGGTAAAGAAAGCTACAATGATTGCAAATACTAAATTTGCATTATTCCCAACTGATGAAAATTATTCATTGCGCGGCGAAACGGTTAAAAAAGTAATCGAAAAAGATATCGCTAAAGGATTGATTCCATTTTTTATTAACGCAACAATTGGTACAACAAGCACAGCCGCCGTTGATCATATTGTTGAAATTGCTGAAGCCAGTAAATAAAATAAAACTAAATCATTATATTTATTATTACATAACAATAATAACAATAATAATAATAATAATAATTTGGTTTCTAGTTGAGGGTACAAACATATGGTTGAATGTAGATGCAGCATATGCTGGTGCGGCTCTTATTTGCCCCGAGTATCAACATTATTCAAAAGGAGTAGAAAAGGCTGATTCATTCGGATTTAACATGCATAAATGGTTATTGACCACTTTTGATTGTTCATGTTTTTGGTAAAGTATCTATTTATTTATTAGTAAAATCTTTGTATATTTATTTATATCTTCATAATGGGGGTTTTTTTTTTTGATAGGATTAAAGATCGATCATTTCTTTTAAATGCATTATCGATTACGCCGGCATTTTTAAGAAATGCTGCAAGCGAAAGTGGATTAGTTTTGGATTATCGAGACTGGCAAATACCTTGTAAGTACTTTAATTGCCAATATGTGAATGAATCAGAGAGACCTTCAAATCTGTGTTTCCCACATAGAAAAATCTTTGATAAAATTATTTTTTGAAATTAATAATTTATTCATACATAAAAGTAATATCATCCTGTGGCACAAAAGAATGATACAATTTTTTGTGTAAAGGTTGACAATTGACAAAATTTGAGACATTTTCTCTGATTCATTCACGTGTCACCAATTAATAATAATAATAATAATAATAATAATAATAACAACAACAATAATAATAATAATAAATGCTAATTATTGATTTGTAATAGTTGGAAGGAGATTTCGATCACTAAAAATTTGGTTTGTTGTAAGGAGTTATGGAGCAAACGGATTAAGAAATCATATTCGAAAGGTATTTATTTATTTACAACATATTTATTTTATTTTATTTTTTTAACTGATATATTTCTTCCTCTTTACAGTCAATAGGACTGTCAGATCACTTTTACAAGGAGATTTTACGATATCCCGAATTGTTTAAAATTGCTGCACCTTATTCTTTTTCTCTCGTTTGTTTTTATGTAATTCCCCCGGCTGCTAAAGAAAATCAATTCACGTCTAACGAATTAACTGAAAAAGTATTAAATAAATTAAACGATACCAAACAAGTTTTTATTACCCATACACAATTGGGTGATCAAATGGTAATTAGATTTCCAGTTAGTGGTTATTGGACAAAAAAAGAACATGTTGATAAAGCTCTGAATTTAATCATAAAGTTTACCAAAGAATTAATAGGAGTTGAATGATGTACATTACTTTTTTTTTCTGTATAAATTTATATTTATTATTATTTAAGTAAAAAATTTTTAGAAACTTTGTATCAAAAATAAATATTTTTAATTGGTAATTGGTGAAATTTTATTGGAACATTATCCCTTGACAATTGACCAATAATAATAAAATTAAGATGTCAACAACAAAATTCCGGGTATTAACCATTCCATTAATTTGATATACTCTACATGCGGAGCTCATAATATCTTATTAAAAGGAAAAAAGATTCATGAATTTGACTATGTAGAGACAAGTCCAAACAAATAAAACAACAATGAATTTTTTTTTTATCGACGAAGATCAAAACAAAAAAGTTATGGGAAAAAGACCTTTGTGAAACTTTTTAATACTAATGTGATTGATCAACTTGTTGCTATTAATAGATTCTTTAACCTTATATTAACTTATTATTTATTTATATTTTGAATCGTAACCCACTTCTTTCAAGCCTTGTTTTCTTCAAAATTCTAATCGCAATGTGGCTTCGCTGAAACTTTTCACTGAAATCTTATTTGAAATCTTTTGGTAGATTGATTGATTGTTTTGGAAATAATACTAATACTTTTTAATATAAAGAAAATGGTATCGGCAAAAAATCTTTTTGGTAAATTAGTCTTAAAAATAGTTATATATGTACGTTGTGTGCATGTGCGTGCGTCTATAAATAATCTTATGTATTAAATATTACTTGCTTTTTTTTTTTTTTAGATAAAAATCTATTTGTTTGTTTTTCTATCCTTTTTTTATAAAATTTTTTCTCTAGTGAATTAATTAATGATTATTTTAAAAGAAGGGTAGAAAGGAAAAAAAAACATATGAGACATTAAAAATTAGACTATAAATATACCCAAAATTAATTCTTAAATAATAATAATAATAATAATAATAATAATAATAATAATAATAATAATAATAATAATAATAATAATAATAATAATTGTAGTAATAGAAAAAAACCATTTTTTATATTTATAATATTATCATTTTTTTGGTTTTTTAATTTAAAAGTACTGTTTGGTTAAATGTCCAAAATGAAGAAAACTCGTTCTTCAGCTCCTTCTTCACCATCAGAAGATAGGGTTGATCTTGTACAAGTTTTATCAAATAATTCAAATACTGCTGAAGATGAAATAATTTCTTTGATTTCTTCTCGCTTCAAATTAGACCTCCCTTATACTCGTATAAATTCTTCGACAATGATAGTCGTAAATCCGAATAAGCCACTAGAATTCATGAATGATGAATCTGCAAAAGAATATGCTGATCAATGGTACAAAGACACATCAGGAATTAAATCAAATTTGCAACCACATATTTATGAATTAGCCGCAAAGGTTTATTTACATATGCGAAGATCTGCTGAAGACCAAAGCGTAATATTCAGGTTTGTTTATTATCAATCTTATTTGATCACGACAAGAATAAAAGACAAACAAAAAATGTACATCTTGATTAATTATTTGTGATGTTGATTTTGTTCATCGAAACATTAAATAAATAAATAGCGGAATCACCGGCTCCGGGAAAACTGCATCTCAAGGTCATCTCTTGCAACAATTATTATTACTTTCAACCCATACAAAAAAAGAAGCAAAACTTGCAAACCAAATACAAAATGCTCAAACTGTTCTAGAAGCTTTTGGAAATGCAAAAACTACCCAAAATATCAACGCATCACGTTTTGGCAAATATTTAGAATTACAATTCAATGAAAAAGGCAGAATAGTCGGTTCAAAAATATTAACCTATTGTTTTGACAAGTCTCGAGTAACTGGAATGCCTCATGATGAAAGAACCTATCATGTTTTTTATTATTTGTTGGCTGGTGTTACATCCGAGGAACGTTCGTTATTTCAACTTCAAGATCCTCATAATTACAATTATTTATCACAATCAAAGTCTTATAATATTCCTGATGTTGACGACTCGATTCAAATGGAAGATTTACGTGCTGCCCTTAAAATTTTGGGCTTTAAATCAAAAACTGTTGCTCAAATTTGGCAAATTTTATCTGCTATATTGTTACTGGGAAATATAGAATTTATAAATCCTGGTAAAAATTCTAAAGATGAAGCTGCCACAATTAAAAATCATCATATTTTAGATATGGTTGCTCAAGCTTTAGGTGTTCCTGCTTTTAAATTAGAACAAACTTTAACTTACAAAACTAAATACATTGGTAAAGAATTATGCACCGTCTTTTTAGATGCCGGGTCTGCCAAAGAACAAAGAGATGCTTTGGCTAGAACTTTATACTCCATATTATTCACCTGGATAGTTGAACACATCAATACAACCCTTATTCAGTCAGACGAACCTCCCAACTTCATTGGCTTATTAGATCAACCTGGTTATCAAAATTTTGCTAAAAATAGTTTTGAACAATTTTGTTTTAATTTTGCTACTGAAGAAATTCAAAACTATGTTTTAAAACAATTATTTGATGACAGTTGTGGTGTTAATTTGGAACTGTCACAAGATGGCATCAATTTACCAAAGATTCAAATAATGGATAACAACGGTTGTGTGGAATTATTAAGAGGTGATATTGAATCATCGAAATCATCAAAATTAGGTGGTATGATAGGTGTCTTAGATTCTGAATGTTCTAATTTGCAAAGTGGTAAAAACAATATCGATGACGGCACACTACTTTCTACTTTACAAGGAACTTTTTCGCATCATCCTTCCTATGTGTCAAATCCTCCAACTTCAAAGTTTTCTTCAAAATATGGTGCTTTTGGCATAAACCATTTTGCTGGTCAAGTAATCTATTCCGTTGATAATTTCATTGATAAAAATTTAGATAATTTCTCTCCTGATTTCGTAAATATTTTCCAAAATACGAATAACACTTTTATCAAAAAATTATTTACCGGTCCCGCTTTAACTATCGAAAATCATCCAAAAAGTAATAAAACTGTTGTAGCAGCTCAATTACCAACCAAACCTATGCGAGCTCCTAGTATGAAAAAATCCAAAAAGAACATCAGCAAATCCAATGTTGATAATAATGACGAAGAAAAAAATGCTGATGATACAATTACATCAAAGAAAAAACAGGCTTCTTCATTACATCTTACAACTGTTACTACTCAATTGTTTTCAACTTTGAATCAATTGATTGAAACTTTAAATGAAACAAAAATGTGGAATGTTTTTCAAATAAGACCAAATGATTCCAATGATTCAGATACATTTGATACAAAACGTGTAAAGTCTCAAATTCGTGGCCTTTTAATACCTGATATAACTGTCAAAAAAAAAATAGAATACACTGCTTGGTACACTTTTAAAGACTTCTTGTCCCGATATGATTCAATTATACAAACTCTTAATTTAGAATCTACCAGAAGTGATAAACAAAAGGTTGAAGCTTTTGCTACCATTAGTGGTTGGGGCGAGGAAAATTTAATAATGGGTAATAATTATGTGTTTGTGACTGAAATTGTTTGGAAAGGATTAGAGGATAGTCTAAGAGCAGCCGAGAAAGAAGAAAGAGCAAAAGCTAAACAAATTAAAGATAACGATAGTTTAGCTAGTGGCGATAGAGGTACAAATATTACTAATGCGGCTGCAACAAGTTCGATGGATAGATTATTACCAAGAGGTGTAGCAACCAGTTACACTGCTAGCGAGGCTGGATATGACGAACAAAGTTATGCAGAAAGTGAAGATGACTATCAAAATTCAAAACAAGAAGAGGAGGGTAGTGTATGGGGTAGTGAATGGGGGAAAAGTGGTTATGATAGGTTAGTATTTCACAAATAATATTAATTAAAAATGTGTGTGTTATAATTAATTAGTTAACTAATTACTTACCTACTTAATCAATCAATCAATCGTTGTGATAAGTAATATAAATAATCCACCTTCCGCTGAATATACTAAAGAAGGCAAAAATAAACCTAAAGAAGTTGAAGAATTACCAGCCACGAGAACGCGTGTTTGGTGGGTTAGATTTGTATGGTTTTGCACTTGGTGGATACCTTCATTTTTACTTGTTTATATTGGGAAAATGAAACGACCAGATGTACGAATGGCTTGGCGTGAAAAAGTCACACTCTGCTTTTTGATATTATTTTTATCGTTAGCCATCATATTTTTCATGGTGGGATTTGGTCTTCTTATTTGTCCTGGAAGAGACAAAGTATATTCTAAAGAGGATGTAGCACTTCATCAAGGTGATAATGATTTTTGGGTTTATACCGGAGGTGTAGTATATGATTTATCAGATTTTCATCAGCAAACTCATAGCATTCCAGAACTACCTGCTGGTCCGAAAGAGATGGAACCATTTGGCGGCAAGGATATAACATATACTATACCTATACCTTTGAATCAGCCAGAAACGTGTCTACCATTTGTTAAAACCGATGATATTACTGTTGATGTTGCCAATGAAACCGATAGAATAGGAACCTTTCAACATATTTCAGGCACACAAAATCCATACAAAGACACACATCTTACTGATCCAAAATGGTATTGGAACTCATTTTTACCAAGGATGAAAAGTATGATCAAGGCTGACATTGTTTGGGATCCAAAAGTAATTACTAGTGAAGCTGTGTCGGGGGGTCGTAGATGGGCTATTATTGATGACAAAGTTTATGATTTGGGAAATTATTTCTATACTGCAACAAAAAATTCACAAAATAACAATGATCCAACTAGAGGACCTCCTAATTACAGGTATTTACAGGCAAATGTGGAAGACTTATTTACAGATAGAGCTGGTCAGGATATTACAAAGGACTTTTATGGTGGGGTTGCAAAAGGAGCAATAACGCAAGACATGTTAATTGCGACAAAGCAATGTCTTGATTCAGTATTTTATGTTGGAAGGGTTGATTTCAGGTCCTCCTTTAGATGTGTAATTACCGATTATCTTTTGTTGTCATATGCTTGTCTCATTGGTGCAGTTATTATTGTGAAATTTTTAGCTGCTTTACAATTAGGCTCTAAACGTAAGCCTGAAGAACATGATAAATTTGTTATTTGTCAAGTACCGTGTTATACTGAAGGTGAAGATTCGATTAAGCGAACAATGGATTCATTAACAGCATTGACATACGACGATAAGCGAAAATTATTATTTTTTATTGCTGATGGTATGATTGTTGGTTCCGGTAATGATAGGCCAACACCAAGAATTGTTTTAGATATTTTGGGAGTTGATCCTAAAATGGATCCTGAGCCTTTGGCATTTAAATCAGTTGGTGAGGGTTCGGCGCAATTAAATTATGGAAAGGTTTATTCTGGTTTATATGAGAATGAAGGTCATGTTGTACCATATATCGTGGTGGTGAAAGTTGGTAAACCATCAGAAAAGTCACGTCCAGGAAATCGTGGTAAACGTGATTCACAAATTGTTCTGATGGGATTTTTGAACAAGGTACATTTTGATTTGGAAATGTCACCATTAGAATTAGAAATATATTATCAAATGAAAAATGTTATTGGGATCAACCCTAGTTTTTATGAATATATCCTTATGGTTGACGCAGACACCGAAGTAATGCCTGATTCATTAAATCGTATGATTTCTTGTATGCTTAATGATGGCCGGATCATAGGCATTTGTGGTGAGACAACATTAGTTAATGAAGAGGGTTCTTGGACAACTATGATACAAGTATATGAATATTACATATCGCATCATTTATCAAAAGCTTTTGAATCATTATTTGGATCGGTGACTTGTCTACCTGGTTGTTTCTGTATGTATCGCATACGCACACCACTTAAAGGTACAGCATTAATTATTTCAAACTTGGTTATTGAAGAATATTCTGAAAATCATGTTGACACGTTACACAAAAAGAATTTATTGCATCTTGGTGAAGATCGTTATCTCACCACTTTGATGATGAAGCATTTCCCTCAATATAAGATGACATTTACACCGGATGCTTTATGTAAGACAGCAGCACCTGATAGATGGGCAATTTTATTATCACAAAGACGTCGTTGGATTAATTCCACAATTCACAATCTTATGGAATTGATGTTTTTACCAGAATTGTGTGGATTTTGTTGTTTTTCAATGAGATTTGTGGTGTTCATCGATCTTCTCGGTACTCTTGTACTTCCATCAACTGTAATTTATTTAATATATTTAGTATGGGCAGTTGTCACAAAAAGACAAAAAGTACCAGAAATAGCTCTTATAATGTTAGCAGCTGTCTATGGTTTACAAGCAATTATATTCATACTGAAAAGACAATGGCAACATGTTGGTTGGATGATAATATATTTAATTGCCTATCCTCTTTTCTCATTTTTCATCCCAATTTATTCATTCTGGCATTTTGATGATTTCAGTTGGGGTAATACACGTGTTGTGTTGGGTGAAAAGGGCAAAAAAATTATAACATCAGATGATGATGAAACATTTGATGAAGGAATGATTCCAAAGAAAAAATGGTCAGAATACGAGCAAGAACTATGGGAAGTTGCCACTGCTGAATCACATGAATCAGGGTTATCAAAACAAAGTGGTGCATCAGCTTATTCACATCGTAGTAAAGGCAGTAGAATGTATGAAACTGGCAGTAATTATGGTGGAAGTAACTATGGTGGAAGTAATTACGGTGGAAGTAATTATGGTGGAAGTAATTATGGAGGTAGTCAAGTTGGTGGTGATTATTATCGTGACACAGTGATTACATCTAACGATCGTGCTAGATCAAGATCACCAGCACCATATGCTTCAGAAAATAGAATGTCAACAATATCCACCGTTTATTCAACATCTGATAATCCTTCTGACGATGAAATTTTGTTAGAAATCAGAACCATTTTGAATTCTGCTAATTTAATGAACATCACAAAGAAACAAGGTACGCTAACACATTTTGATTGATTAAATCATTTATTTATATTGATTATGATTATAATATGTATTTATTAATTAATATACACATCTCTCTCCCTCTTCCAAATAGTACGCGAACAGCTCACAACAATTTTTGGCAGAGATATGTCATATAAAAAAGATTTTATTAATAATAGCATAGAATTAATATTACAAGGCAAACTTTAAAAAAATTCATATATATATATATATATATATATATATACACTATTAGATATTTTATACGCTTTAAAGTTTGGTTTGGCGGATGTGTGTTAGTAGCCGTTTATGAAATTTTTTTATTTAATTTAAACTATAACTATAAAAAAAACATTATACATAATTTAAATAAATAAATAGACAACTTACTGTATTATTATTTAGTTGTTATAATCAAACTATTAAAAAAAAAATTATATAATAATTATATAAATATCGATATTGAACTGATAAAATTACAAATCCACAAAGACCTTGTAACAAAAAACCGGAAATTTTTTGGTGCAAAGGATGTTTTTTGTCGCTACATTCTATAGAGATCATTCCTGAACTTATCATAAAGGTTTTAGTTTATATTTTTGAAAGTCAATTATTTTAAGCTCAAAATTTATTCATGAATAAAAACGTGCTGTTAGTTACGAAACATCAAAACTTTTGGCGAGTTTGCTAAGCGAGACATGGTGCTAAAAAATCCTGAATAATTGGAATGATAAATGAATCTGCTGATTTTCATAATTGAACTTTTAAATGACTTTGTTGTCTAATATTAAAAGCAATTAAAAATAAGTTTCATATAAATCTATATTGATAGAAACTTCTGATTTTCAGTTTTCTTTTGATCTATTTTCAATCGTTATTTGAGAAACAAGGATTTCCAGTTTTTTTTAAAGAATCCTTATATTGGTAACTTAAGTTTAAATATAAATCTAGATATAAATTTAATGTTCAGAATCTTCAACAGACACACATCGATCCTGGTTATAAATTAATACTAATACGATTTCCGCATCAATAGAAGAAATTCCATTGGGGCAGACTTACGTGACATATTTAATATCTTTTACTGTATAATTTCTGGCTTGATGCTATACTGCTGCAAATCTAAGCGTATTATTGATGTGATCCGCGGATATACTTTCACAATTCGGCGGGTTGAATACCATTTGAAATGCCAAATGATCATGTCTCCTTTGACCAAATGACTCCAAATCCAATAAATAGTAACGACCAGGTTATTTCAGAATACTGGCATACACTGTATATAGCAATAATTTTATAGTTCAGTTTAATAAATATGCAAACAAAAAGAACAAAAGAAAAAAATCGAAAAGTATTATTTACGGACGAAACAAAGTTCAAAATATTTTATAACCAAAGTTTAAAAGCAAAGTAAAGAAAGACGAATGGAAACGATTTTTAAAAATCCAATGATTTTTAATTTGTTACTTTCACTTTGTTAGTATTAGTGTGCGAGAGGCTTGTCCACTTGACGGATTTTCGAAAATCGAGCAATAAATATTGCTAATTGCAGAAAAGTCTTTCGTCCATGAAATTTTACTAAACTAACTTTTTGGGAAGTGCAACATTGAATGAGATGGGTAATTAAACTTATATCAAATTTAAAAATTCACGATAACACTCTTCATATATGCAGCAGAATCCATGGGAAAAAATGAGGTATCATTTTTTTTATACGTGTGTGAATATTTTTACAGTATACAAAAGAAGTACTAATACTAACTACACTTCTTCAACAAGCATCGGTAGTTTATTTATAATAATGCTGTGGCAACAGGTTTTGTCCAAAAAGAGTTTTAAGAATTTCTAAATGTATGAGAAAATGCGAGGTACATATAATTGACGCAATGTTGCTTCTTGTGAATGTTTTTTTAAAAAAATTAAGTAGATACCTGCTATAGCAAAGGCTTCAATAAAATCATGAATTATAGTTTTTTAGATTCAGAAAAAGAAAGAGAAGCAACAAATGTTGATGTTTATACTAGTTTTACTCTTAAGATGGTTATCAACTATGTCCAATCAACGGAATGGTCACAAAAAAAAAATAATAATAAAATCTAATTGTCAATACAAAACTCGCCTGGATTTAGTGTTAATTGTAATTTTTCGTTTTTGTATTATCTGATATTCTGTGATAACACGTTACCATTATTGTATTCCGTGATTTCTGCGGTATTCTGCACTATTCCTATCAAATCAATAAGAATAAAAAATAAAAATGTCGAATTCATTGCAAAGAATAATCACCGGCCCCATAGACAAAAATGAATATTCCTATTCTTTGGTTCGATGTAGTAAATAACCATCTATTGTTATTAATAATAATCCTTTCAATTCCAAGGCTTAATTCTATCTAATGAAATGTGATGTCTATAAACACTTTCCAACGTGTTATAGTGCACTGAATAAATATTTGATGATATTTGAAAACGCATGACTCTCCAGTCAGGAAAGTTGGATCTCATTTCCATCAACTTACTTTTTTTTATATATTAACCATTAGTATTAGACTCTTTACCTTTGAAAACACGTGACTATTCAGCCATTTCTTTCCACAAAATGAAATTTGTTTAATAAAAATTAGTTATTGCAACCTTCTCAAGAAAAAAAGCAAAGTTCGGCGGATTATAATACAGAAGTCTCATTATAATTAATACCTTAAAGGTGCTGTTAAAATTTTTAGGAATCCCAAGTATAAATTATTATTATTATTATTTATTATTATATGAAAGTAATCGGTAAGAATTAGCGCATTAACAAAAATCACGAGGAGCGAAGCCCTTCCGTGTCTACCAGGTTCTTTGGTGATAACCCAATATAAAAACGTTCTAAGCTCCTTTCAGTTAAATTTGACATATTGCAAAACCGTTCGAACCGAACTACCACCTTGTTCTAATATAGAAGAGAAGGTTTGGTTAATTGTGATTTTTAGAGATAGATTTTTTACTTGTTAGAAGAATTATTGTATTTAATTTTTGCTTTTATTATGTCTGTTATAATAGTACGTTTGGTTTGTTGATTTATTTTTTTAACTGTCAAATAAAAATAATTAAGTTCAAAATTCTATAAATTTCGTTAATTTAGTTGATTTAGAATATTGAAAACTTTGTTATTATCACAATTAACTTTCGTCATCACTATTATTAACCTTATTAATGAAATATTTTCAATTCTCAAGATAAGTTATTTATTATATAATGTTGATAAAAACTCTTAGATTTCTTTGTTTGCATAAGTTTCTAATAAATTTTTTCTTTTTTGTCACTAATAATTCCCATTTGTGATAATGAATTCAGATAAGTCTCGTAAATAATATGATTTTCTAAGCTTTGGGAATAATGTAATGGGTTATTTCTTCTGGAGTTATCATTATTCAACTGTACTTTCTTAAACTAGTTTGTGTTTTAATCAAATTAAGCAATAATTATCACCACCAATTTATAAAGGCCAATTTTCCCAGATGGCGTGACAGCTCTGAATTATGATTAATACAGAATAATAACAGTTGTTGAATAGGACGATTGTGTTATAAAATAATATTAATAATATTCCAAAGAATCTAAGTTGGCTATTTTGATTTTTGCATATTTTGTAATTAATTTTAACAAGTCATCAATTAACAAGTCTTTCTCTCCTCTTATAATTTGATAATTTTCATCAATTAAAACATCATAATACATATGTAAACTCGATAAGTCGGCCAAAATTTTCACGATAAGTCATTCATATGAGCTCACCCTCACATGACCGACTTATCGAGTTTACATATGTATGTATAATTAATTTACTGGCTCTCTAATAAATCTGATATTATTCGTAAACAATTGACTAATGCTTTAACGTTTTCTAATGAATGAAATTGATCACTCCACAACAATGTTATATTAATTTCATATCGAGGTAATTTGGATATCATGCCTTTTATAGAAAAATTTTTTTCCATTTGTTAAGCATTATGTCCCATTCTTTATTCTTTTTTGATATATTTTCTGTATAAATTAGATTGTTTATAAGTAGAATAAATTATAACTAAAATGACTTCTTTAAATATATGTATATGTGTGTGTGATATTTATATTTCCTATTAAATATTGTTATCATTAAGAAAAAAATTAAATATTGGTGAAATTTTTAAATAATTGACCATTCATTAGCTAATTGATTGAAAGTTGTAAATATATCCTATTTAAATTATAAAATACATACACACATATATATTAGTAATTGTTTTATTTCCCAAAAAAAAAGATGATTTAAATATTTACCTCACGTGAACAATCTAAAAATTTAGTTCCTGTTGTAGTTGCTGTAGATAATGATACTGTAGAGTGAAGTTGTTTTGAGTGAAAAGCTGCAAGCTTACCAAAATTACCTTGTGATATCACCTATTATATAGTTTATTATAAATATATTAATAAGATTTTTTAAACTCGCCTCTTTCCACCAATAAATATTCTATCCATTTTTTTTTAGTACATACCCGATAATCTGTTTTACTCAAAATTGAATTTTCAATTATTGCATTAATTACACCATTTGCCTGATCATAATGACCATGACCGGAATCAATCTGTAATCCAGAAATTATGACATGTTCAAGTTTTGTGTATGCTTCTGTTCTTAGTTTAAGAGAATCTGTAACAAGATAATATATCACCTTTTGGTCTGGTGCAGCATAAGTTTGTGTAAGTTGGTCAGCACAACTAAAGAAATAACCATAGTCTTGTAATAGGTGTGATTGTTCATAAGAATCTCCAACTTGTATATGAATACCAACAGAAAAAATATTTGGGAGCGCAAATAAAGCTGTATATTGTGTGATAAAAGATAATGCTGGCGGAATTGGTGTAAATAAATAATCTAGAAAACATCCAAATGCAGTGTGTGGTCTTAGACCCATTGCTTTTAATTTAGATGAGTAATATTTAGAATCAAAAGCTCTCTGTATCAGCCCTTGGTTTGTATAAAATTTTATAAATGGTTCTGGGTATCTTGTTGTCCAGTTAGAAAGTGAGAAATGATAATCCAAATGTTTTGAATTATAATCAATAATGTTCAATTCAGTAGTATTAAGATCTTTTGTAAGGTCATCCGAATTAAAAGAATCATAACTCCAGTCAATATTTGGTGAGTCAAAAATTGTATCAAGTGGAAGAGGAACTTGCCAGTCTGCAAGAAATGCTCTATCTGTAAGTAATGCAAATAAAAACGTGGATGTCATGCCGAGGATACTGTATATATTAAACAAAGATATAAATTTATGAAACACGCATATAGTCGTAAAAAAGAACTTTATATCTTTAAAATATGTTTACTTACCGGTCTGCCAATCCACCACAGTTTATTTTAGCCTCGCATATATAACTAACATATCTTTGAGGTGCAGTTCCATTTAAAATTTTCTCGTGTAATGTTGTATATTTGTCTTGCCATGATCCACAAGAATGATCTAAACCATCATTAATATTTCTTTGTAAAGCAACAAATTCCCTGCGCTCTTTGATTGAAAGTGACCCAACAACATCAATATGAGTAAAATGAGGTTCTACAATGGGGTATGTATAGTTGGAATAATCAAATACAATATCATCCTCATTGAAAGCACCTGCAATTTCATATCTGGTTTTTTTATTTTTTTTAAGTTTGTTAGCTACTCCAATCTGTGTTGGATTTATTGAATTATCAGAAGATTCAAGGTTAGCCTTCACATCAACAACCTCATTTTGAGTGGTAATTATGTTTTCAGGAATAGACGGGGCATTTTCAACAATATTCTCTTTATCAATTTCTTGGTCCACTGTACCTTCATCAGTTGTAATATCGATATCGAGATTATTGTTGTCATCAACGTCAGTATTTAAAGAAAGAGTCGTAGTTTCCCAACTACCTTGTGTAATTCTTTCCCATGCATTAATTTCTTCATTAGGAGATTCTTCTTCATCATCATCATTAATCATAGTCTCATTAGCCACAGCACTATGATAATTAATAGGAGCATTCTTAACAAAGAGTAATTCTTCATCAACAGGTCCTATTCCACATAAACTAGATAAAAATACAACAAGAGCCCATAAAAAAATCAAATAGAAAAGGATTGTCTTAATGTCTAATCCAGAGGATTTTGGACTAAAACACGATCCATCAACGGGTTTTCGTTGCTTTTTTGAATCGTATAATGAAGGCATATTGGTAGTTTTCTCTTTAATGATCGAAACATTTAGGTTTTGGTTTTTTGGAGAATCGAATAGCATATTTTGTTGAGAGGTGTATTGCCTTGTATTGTTATTATCATCAAAATGTTGGATAGACGGTGCTGCTAAAAGATTTTCAGATAAACTATTAACACTAATTGTATTTATACTTGGATGGCGGTATTGTGTTTTTTTACCAGTGGTAGTGGTTGACATTATTTTTTTAAAATGGTGATAAGTGAAGGTGATTATTTTTATTAGTTCAAATTTCAAGATTTTATTTGAGTAAAGATCTTCATTTTGCTATTGCTTAAAAATTGAAATAATGAGAAGGATTTTGAAGAGAATGAAATTATACATTTTATCCATTTTAACAAGAATAAATAAAACATTATCCTCTAATCTAAAACTAGTACTAGTATGGTCTAGTTTACATACTGCAAAGCAGGGATGCTGGCGTAAAATCCCAATTTAGTTAACATACAAAGTGTCTCATCTAGGTTTACGCATCAGTCTTGGAAAACAGAAATGGTGAGTAGTGGAATTTATAGATGAAATAGTAGATAATGAATGCACTTAAAATGTATCTATACAATACGATGCAATCAATCTTTCTAAAAACTCCCCATTCTTTGCTATAAGCTGAACTCGCCATTAATTTTATAATAATTGCACTCGATATTAAAACTAAATGCTAACACCAAAACCATGCTGTCATTACAGATATTTCATGTGATAATAAAGAATTTATAGCTGTATTGTATCTTATGGATTACAACAACAACAAAATATGGATCCTCTTAAAAGAAGTTTTTGGTCAGATTTACATGCATTCCGTAACAACAACACAACGAACATTTAATAATGGATCAGGATGTATGCGATAGGTAAAAGGATATTATGTTAGAATCCGATTGGTAAATAATGAAGAAGTTCATCATCATTACTATTGAAGCGCTTGTGATGACCCAGGAAACAAGATAGGCCCATATCGAAAATAATACTAATTTGTAAATTATTTTCAGTGTTATTTCCATAATAATAAAGTCTATTCTGTTACCTGGCGGAGGGAAAATTCTAGAAATAAATACTAACTAATATGTCAAAGCCAAAAAACCGTCATCTGACTAGGGACCCTAACCATAATCTTAACCCCCTCCCTATTACTACTATTACTACTATTACTATTATATACTATTACTATTACTACTATTACTTACTATTCGAATATATTTTGGATATTCGTAATTGTTTCAGATATTCGTAAACTTGTAATCATTTAAAATGCTTCTGTCTATTTCGAATATTCATAACTATTTCAAATACTTGTTGTATTAATTTCAAATACTTCGAATACTTCAAACTTCATAATTTTAATAAATTTTGTAAATGCTTAACAAATTACAGCATACCTACTAAATTATATTTATTATAAAAGAAAAAACCAACATTCCATTTGGGTTTGAGGAGACACTTTTACTTGAACTTGGCATGTTCTTACACTTCCATCGTCACTAAGTGAAGTCTCACGTGGCTACCTTTCTTATCATGATTTCTTTGACTGGTGGTTGATGAAATATTCGGTGGTAATGGCAGAATAGATGAAAAGGTTTTCGAATGGGTTGTTAGATATCCTTCATAAACATGAATTGGCATATCTTCTAATATTAAATCAGTTAAACCGCTCATACTTGAAAATTAAGTAATTAGAAATTATTTTAATATTTGTAAATTATAACAAATGTTTGAAATGATTATGAATATCCAAAATAATTATGAAGTACGAATATCCAAAATAATTGCGAATATCCAAATATTCGAAATATTCGAAATAAATTAATTATATATTAATATTAATATTAATATATTCAAATATTCTTGAATAAATTGATTTTCGAAAAATTTGATTACGACAAGATATATTAAAATATTAGGCAAACAAAATAAATGCAATACATATGCTGTTTGCATTGGCTGCTATGAAAGCCTAGACGCAAAAGAACCCACAAACATACTTTTACAAACAAAAAGCTACAAGTTAAAAATCATTTTAAAAGTCGCGTTATTCCAATACAAATAGCAATAGTGTTGCTTCGTCTGCAAAATTCTGATGTGTAAATATTATGCACACTTAATATTGATAGCATTGAAAGATTTTAATAAACATTCTTGATCTAATAATTACTATTATTATGTTGTATCAATAGCGACTTCACTATTAATATCTGATATTTGTTGCGTATTTTATTATTATTCAATCAATTTATTTTTTTTTAATTTATTACCTTCCCCAGGAAATTTCAAAACCGGCTGTATAAAAAAATTAATTAATTAATTATTCCGCAATTTCTCATAATTATTGAACAATTCAACTTATGTTTTACAACTTATAATTTTACAACTTATAATTTTACAAAACAACATACTTCTTCCGTTATTTTATCTTTTGATGATTTAAAAGGAACAACTTTATATCCAAAAAATAATTTTCCAAATGGCATTCTCAAAGGTGCCGGCGCATTATCTGATTCATTTTGTTGTACGTTACTCACCTTCTCAACACTGATAATAATTGTTAGTGGCAATCAATATATCAATATATAAATTATCTTGCTATAATAATAATCAAATAAACACAAACCTTTTGGAACTAGATGCGACGGCTGACGGTGATGATGATGATGACGATGATGATGATGGAAATGCGGAAGAAGAGGAAGAGGAGGCTTTAACGGTTCCTTTTAGATTTTGTCCACTGCCTTGAAATGCAGAAAATCCTCTTGATTCATCTTGTGATTGTTCTATCTTCAATTTATCCACCTTTTATTATTTAAACAAACATTTAAACCATTACTTTATTCTTTTTTTTAATACAGAAGCAAAAAATATATTTGTACCATAGTAGAATTTTTTTGTTGAGATTCTTTCTTTTCTTTATATCCTGGTGGTGGTGCAAAATCAACCTATAATATTAATTAATTGATTGGTTAAATGACATATATATATATATAGACATGTATACACGTAATATTCATACGCACATGTATTATATGTACATGCATATAGATTTAGTTTACCTCCAAATCAGTTTCCAAAATTGATATCCCATTGGCTTTACCATCTTCAGATTTAACTTCCAAAACTTTAATTTTATAAGTTTTTCTATTATAATATATTTGAATATAATCTTCTTGAGTTAATGTTGAAAAATTTCTAAATGCATTTTCCAATCTAAAAAAGTATTATCATAATTAATTTCTTTCGTTTCTCTCTTCGAAAAAAATTGAATTTTTCTTCTTGAAAAAAAATTAGTAGGATAGTTACACGGCCTTTTGGTCAGTTATATCCAAAAAATTTTCAGTTTGTGGTTGAATTTTAACAAATTTTCCTAATGGTAATGTAGCATTCTTAATATCAACCAAATCTCCCGTTTCCAATGAAAGCGTTTCCATCAACTATCAGAAATATAAATATATACATATAAACAGGTGTAAAACGTAATCATTCTTAATTGTTGAAATTAAAACTAATTTTTACCCATTGAGGTAAATACACATGCCCTTCTGGTGCAATAAATTCGAGTACTCCTGCATGTGAATGTTTGTTGATTTTTTTATTGTGAAGTCTAAATAACATCGGATAAACTATATGTAAACTTGCTATATATATTTTTTTTTTGCCAATACCAATAAAAAAGTTTCAGATTTTAAAAATTAATAATAATAACAATAGCAATATTATTTAGTTTACTTACACAATTTTGCTAACGCTGAAGGTGGTAAAATAACTATTGATTCATAATAATATTTAACAAAATTTACATTAATTAAACAAATTAATTAATCCAACCAAAGAAGTAGTAAAAACAAACTTACTTTTGCCACCATAGTATACATTTAATCTTTTATCATCTACAGGATAACAACGATATGTATCTTGAAAATCATGTATACCACTATACTATAAAAAAATAAAAGTTATTAAAAATGATTACTATGATTACTTTGGTTGAAATGACAGATTATTTTAAAAAAATATACCATCATATCTAAGATTTTTAAAAAAATATAGTAATAGAGAAAAGATAATTTTTTAAAAAAATGATGTTACACGATTACGAATTTTTTATGACCTCACTGACCTCATTTGCGTAAAGATCATCAAGGGAAATTTCAGCACATATTAAAAAAAGCAGATAGAAAAAAGTGAGTGGGCATGCATGACTTTAAATTAATAGTAATATTAGTAATATTAACTTTTGATTGTGCTACGACACATAAAAAAAAATTTTTTTTTTTGATAGATTGAAGGAAAAATCAATTATTTTAATTATTTCACAACTTACACACGCACACAAATATTTGTATTGTCACTTCAAAATTAATTATTTCAAAACAAAAAATATTTAAAATAAAATAGAAACAAATGTCACCAATTACTCGTAGTCAAACAAGTCTAAGACGTTGGTTATATCCTGTTTTCCCAACATCGGCCCAAATTGAAGATGCTTTTCAAAGTTCTGTAGTGCGTATACAAGGGGATGCACGAAAACTGCTTGGTGTAAATTTATCTGTACTAGAAATTCGTCAAAATCTTTACAACAGTAATTTACAAGAATATTGGTTGGTTAATAATTTCGAAGCTTTACAAGATGTTATGTATTATATAATGAAAAGAAAATTATTCAAAAAATATAAAGACCAATTAATTGCTGCTGGAGTAGAAGTTGCAAAAATAATGGATTCGATGCAATTATCAATTATGACAATTATTGATGATAGCAATAAAAATCCAAATAATTCGTTGCATTATCGTTTTGTTGACTCTCAAATTATAATTCATAATGACGATGATAGCAATAGTAATATAGCAAATGAAAATTTTAATAATAATGTCGACGGTATTTGTGGTGGTGTTGGTAGTAGTATAAATAGCTCTATTAACAGTAGTGATGAGTATACCGACAATGACGATGATAATAATAGTGATGAGGATATTAATACCGATGACGGTATTAATAGTGACGGTCAAGATTTTGATGATATTGATGGTACTAGAGGAAAGCAAGAGTCATTAATTATAATAATTCTTGGAGATATTCAATACCATTTCGAAAATATTATTAGCAGATTAGGTTTTCCTAATTGTTTGTATAATTTAAAAAACTTGGGAATGGGAAAGCAGCTTTTAATTATGGCATTATTGTTAATAATGATGTATAATATTGGGTTTAAAGATGTTGTTAATGACCAGCGGCTGACTAATCAACATCACAAATTAAATACTGTTCAACTACGTGGCAAAGTAAAAGAACAAGTTTTAAGATATGTCGAAGAAGAAATTTCAAAAAGATCACCAGATTTGATTAATCATGGCAATATTAATAAAGGTAAAGCAAGACCTAATGATTTCATTGGCTTAGTTAGGATGCAAATATCAGAGGTAATTAATTAATAAATGGATAAATAATTAATTGTTTAATATTTAATAACTAATTAATAATATTATTAATTAGTTATTGGAAGATCAATTAACAAAAATTATACATGGATCAAGTACTGACTATGCTTTGTATACAAGTGGTGCGCAAATAATAAATAAATTGACATCAAGAGTTTATGAAGAGTGGCCAACAAAAATGCATCAAAGAATATGGGGTTACTTCACACATCGTAATCTTGTAAAAAGTCGTGAGCCTGATGTGGTCATCAAACCAAACATTAATGTTGGTGAGTGTTGGTGTTTTAACGGAACAAAAGGTCAAATTGCCATAGAGCTGTCAAGAAATATCATTTTCACACATGTGGCATTACATCACATTGGCAAAAATGTATCGATTGATCCAATTAGTTCTGCCCCAAAAAATTTCGAATTATGGGGATTGCCTTCTGATGATGACGACGATGATATTGGTACTGGTGTTGGTAATAATTATGATGAAATAGACAATAAAGAACTTTTTAGTGATAATGATTCAAAGACAAAAACTACTGCAACTGACAAAAAATTTAAATTATTCAACAAAAAAGTTTTAAAAAATAAAGATTTCAACATTTTTTTGGGTCAATATCAATATGACTTAACGGGAAAACCTTTACAATTATTCCATTTACCAGAATCAATTGCAAGAACCAACAATAAACGTATTCAAGCAATAATCATGAAAATTTTAAACAATCACGAGAATCCAAAATTTACTTGTTTATATCGGCTTCAAGTACACGGATTATTTCCACAATAACACAATTTAGCTATGTAAAATTATTAGTGGATTAGCAGCAGTGTGGAAGACCTGTTTCTTTGATATATGTGTATATTATTTTTGTATTTATAGAATTGGTTGTTTTTGTATTTATAGGATTAATTTGATAAAAAAATATACTTCTAGAATTTTAGAGTTTTTATTTATTTAATTATTTTATTTTTTCTGTAAATATAATTTATTAGATCTTTAAATTATTTGTTTATTAAAAAAAAACAGTTAATAAAATGTAGACCTCTTCAAGATTTATTGGGAAAGTTACAGTAATAAAAAAAAATGATCAAATAGATAACATTGATTTATAAATTATTGTGAAATAAATATTGAAGATTACCAACAATATCTTCTATGCTACTCCGGACATATGAGAATTAATCCCTGTACAGCTGTGCCAATTAACATAACTGGCATAATTTTGAGCATTCAAGGGGATGAGAATATGAAGTGTCATCTAGTAACGCTAATTGCTAAGCTACAATTTTGTACGATTTTTCCAAATTTCAACTTTTTTTGTCTTTATAATAATAATATTACTTTATCACAATTTCTATAACTGCTATTAAATGCATTGAACAATATCCACCTACAATAATAATACTAATAATGACAACAATAATAATAATTATTAATATCTTTCATGCACAACGTATATATCTAGATTTCATATATTTTTTCTTTGGAAATGTGGAGACTAAAGCTCCGAACAAATCGAAACGAGTGGAATTTTAAAGTGGTTCGGTTCGGTTCGATTTGTGACTCGATTCGATTTGATTCGAATCAAACCAGATTCGTAAATTTCTTTTAATGTCATATTAATATTAATAGGGCTTTTCTTCGAATAATACAAAACTCTGCATACTAACAAAATAATAAATATATGATGTCTCTTTCAACAGGCACAGTGAAATGTGTTCAATAAGTGAGAACCATTTTTCACAGTTGTAGATGGAAAAGCCAAATGCAATTATTGCACTAGTATATACTGAGTAAATATTTTTTGACTTTCAAAACCATGGTATATATCTGAATTAGATTTGGACCAAATCATTTATGAAGTTTATTGGACGATCGTGGAAATTATCCATATAATATATTAACCAACGGATCAAGGATTTGCTGTGAAAGAATACAGTCTAGATTTTTGGAGCTTTAGGTAAAGTTGCTAAAGAATATGAAAAGAAGGTGAACTTTCTTGGTGATTTATTTTTTGTTGGTTAAATCTAGTATAATAAAAAAGTTTAAATTCAAAATTATAGTTGACAAAGTCATCTGATCATAAATTCCTATGCAAAATCTTTGCTTAAAATACCACTCTTAAGCATGTAAATTTTGAAGCTTAAACATTTTATTTAAATTTAATTTGGTGTAGGCAGGACATCTATAAACAACAATGGAGCAAACTATACGGTTCAAAATTTTTTTGACATAATAATAAAAATTGTGCAAAACTAAAATTTTTTATATTAGCACTGTATTAATATTTTTTACCCTGGTCGGAATTTTGAATTAAGATGTCCTGTACCATATAAACGGTTTTCTAACATGTTGAAAGGTTGGTGTATAAGTTAATTTAGATATTTGATACGTATTTTGACAAAGGCGGAAACATTTTTAGATAAAAAAGATGTGCGAATTGATTATCTTTATATGTGTGTGTGTGACTTATATTGAAAAATGTTTTTAAGAAATATCATTTCTCAAGAACTTAAATTGTCAATAAATTATTCACAATTTATTTTTAAGCAAACTTGTTCAATTTCTTCACAATCTAATAACAATAACAACAATGATAACAACAACAGTGATAACAAGAACGATGATAATGATTACAATTTTGATGTTTTAAAGCGTTTAAATGAAGATGCAAAAAATTATATTAAACCAGATCCAGTACCGATATTTGATGAAATGATAAATTTTTTTGACGAGGCACCTTCTAAAGAATTATTAAAAAAAAATGATAATAAAATGATGACTTCTAAAGGTAGATCAACTAAGAAGAAATTAGATGATGATGTTTCTTCATCTCCAATTGAGCAACATTATGAAGATGATAAGAATGGATTCTCATTGATAGACAAATTAATAACAGATAAAGATAAAAAATTACAAAGTTTAAATAAAGAAACTCAAACTGGAGTAGTAAGAATTATATCAGACATTTTTTCTACTGCTGATCAAGTTACTTATAATTTTCATATACATTCAGGTTATAACAACACCATCATCACATTAGCAAATTCTCGTGGTGATACATTAATTACAAAATCAAGTGGAATTGTAGGCTTTAAAAAAGCTCAACGTGGTGGCTATGAAGCAGCTCATCAAACTGCTACAGCTGTCATCAATGCAATCAAAGAAAAAAAAATTAAAGTTAGAAATGCAGAAATGTTTCTTAAAGGCTTTGGTTCTGGTAGAGAAGCTGCATTCAAAGCTATTGCCTCAGCTGAAAATGAATGGAGTATTAAAAGAGTAACTGATTCAACTCCAACCCCATTCAATGGTTGTCGCCCCAAAAAAACAAGAAGATTATAATATTGGTTCTTGGGAGAATAATAAATAATGATTTATAGAATAAATTAATGCTGTAAAATATATTTATTTTAAATAAATAAATATTTTTATTTTCAAGAACATTACAATCTTTCCTATAAATAGGAATAATGTAGATAAGGAATCCTGATGATTATTATAATGATAATTTACTACTAACATATCAAATTTGAATGTTATATCAGCTTACATTTACCAAAAATTATAGAATATAAAACTACTCAAAGATTTAACAAAAAATGGTTATTATAGTTATTATAATGATAATAATAAATATGATGATGATGATTTTGTATGATATGTTGGAAGATACATTATTATTATGAAAACCAAAAGTTGTAATGTCGAAAGAAAATAATAGCATCACATGGACAAGGACAATAGCTAGAATAGATACTTATTTATTTTGTAAAAAAAAAAACATATTATCATTATGCTAAACAAGATTTTTCTATTTTTCCCTTTCCTTACTTATTGTTATCCACTTTTAAGAAATCATATAAATATATATTATTATTCCCATCCTATACTTGCCTAATTCATGATTTAAAAAAATTTATTATTTTGATACAATATATTCTAAATCCTAATTAGAAAATCTTAATCGTTTTGATGGTGATTTTAACATTATATCACATTCATCCTCATTTTCACATTTATTATCATTATAAATTTTATTAACAACACTACTCCTATTGATATTAACACTATGATTAATTTCACCTTCTTCTTCTTCTTCTTTGCCATTTCTATTATAAAAAGAATTGAAAAATCGATTATTATATTTTACTTCTCTTACTAAAGGATGTGATGATACTGTTGATGATAAGTGTTGTTGTTGCTGTTGTTTATATGAAGAAGGGGAAGAGGATGATGATGAATTTCCATTAGCAGCCATTGGTGACTCATATATATTAACTGGACCAATTCCTCCCATATTTATAGGTGAGAAAGCTCCCAATGATGATGATCTGTCATTAATATCATGGTGATGATAAACTAGTAGTGTACTTTCTTGTGATTTATATAGTGAACTTGAAATTTTCTCCTTCTCCTCTTCTTGATAATTATTCTCATTATTATTATAATTATAATTATCATCCATTGATTCATTATATCTTCTATGACTATAATTATTATTATTATTACCATAATCTGAATAATCAGAAAATTCACCAGTTTGACAATAATTACTACTACTATTACTATCATCACCACCACTAGTATTAGCTTCTACACAAAGAAGACATTGACAACGAATGGGAAATGGTGATGTGGATGTTGTAGTTGAGTGATGGAAGTAGTAAGGAGAGTAGGATGAATTTGAGACGGGTGAGTAAGATGGTGAATTTGTACCAGGTGGACTTATATGTTTAATCGACAGGAATAGTTGTGGGCTACTAATAATATATTCTGGCGTGTTGTTGATTTGCAATGCTTGTTGTTGTTGTCTTAGTTCATCAGAAGGTGGCGGAGAGTAGTTGTAGTTATAAATATTACTTAAAGTGTTTCTTGGAGTAGTTTCTTCTCGAGTGTTATCATTATTTATGTTAAAGTTGGCTGGTGAGGAGGCTTTTGGAATTGACATGTCTAAATTATTATTATCTTTTCGTTAGCCCAGTCACCTTTAGGAGAAAAGTTTTTTTTTATTTGTTTTTTATTATTTTTTAAGAATATGAATGGGGGAAAAATCCAAAGTTTAAGCTTTTTTATTTATACATGTGTTTTTTATATTACTACTTTTTACGTGTCAGAATTTAAAAATGTTATTGCGTTCTAAATGTTGATATGTCGATCATTCATAATAATTAATTCATGCATAGAATTATGTTCCATGTATATATATGTATGACAAGCTATACTGAAAACATTATTTATTGTTGTTAATTATCCGTGTTGATAAGGTATATCATGTGAAATCAAGGATCGGATCTAGTTCTTTCCACCATAAAAACCTAGAGTATGATGTAACTTAATTAAAGAAAACAAATTGCAGCGAAGAAGAAAGGATGTAATTATTGTAATCACAGTTAATTTTGAATGACTCAATAAGATCCCCCCACCAGCTAAAAGTAAAATTAAAAAAAACAATTTTTTTTCTTTTGATATTAATTCGTGATCCACGATAGAAGTATACACCAATTTCAGTATTATATACATAGTAATAGTATAGTAAGGTCGGTTATACTGACAAATTGTATGTAAAATTCATATTTATTAAAAAAAGTGAGTCCGTTATTATTATCATCATCGTTATGACTTTAAAAGTTTCCTTAATTTTTAGTATTAATAGAAAGATTCGCATTATGTATATATATCCATGAATAATCATCAAAAAACCTATTATTGTTTTATTAATATGATTGTTTAAAGTATATATTTTGTAAAACTTTATAATTAATATGGATGGGTCTGTCTGTTTATTAATATATTAGTCACAGACTTTCAGGGGTCAAGCGTCGTTCATATTAATATGGACAAGTTGGTAACATTTTTATGTCCTTTTACGAAAGTTTTAATATTCAAGCAACACATGATATTTGGAATATGGAGTTGATATTTTTTATTTTATATATATATATATATATATATATATATAAGTATGATCATTTTGAATTTCCTGGAGCTGTTCCTAGAATCTTTATTGGCTCTTTAATATTGAGTGTAATAAGTTGGCCTATTTATTATACAGTGGGGAAAGACATCAAACTATTATTGACTTACCAAAAATGGGATCTGCGATCATTTTTTAAAAAAATAATTGCAATAAACGATTTATTTAGAAGTCGGGAATGAATAATTTAGATTTTTTATTTAAATTTGTATCACAATAATTTTTCTTAAATTTTATTGGCTAAAACTCTTAGTCCGCTCGTATCACAATGATTTTCTTGAATTTTATTGGCTAAAATTTTTACACGTGATAAATTTTAAATCGCCCCTTCGTAGCTTTTGCTGTAGTTAGTTATTTGAAATGAAAAAACACATGTCTTCTTCAATGATCCATTATTTAATTTTACAGCAGTAATATTTCATTTTGAGGTTTCGATGCTACTTTCTTGATCTTAGTACATATTGGAATTATCAATTAGAAACTTGGGTTTATACGAATTACTTGATCAGTCAACTATTTCCATTCCCGTTTATTTAGGTAGATAACCAATATTTAGTTATTACTACATATAACTCGTATATTCATAAGTATATTAACTAACGTATATACAGCCAGATCTCCATAAGGTCACACCCTCCCTGTAAGGGCACATTTCACTTATAGTCACTGTCGTACTTTTTTTGATTCCAAGTATATTAATTTGACCTCTGCAAGGTCACACCACGTGATTAATAATCAGCAAAAAAATTTTGTTCAATGAATTATTTCTATTTCTGCATATTTACCAAAAGTCACAGTTTTTAAAAGAATGCCAAAGGAAAAGAGAGCTATAATCAACAATAAAAATAAGAAAAGAAATATGTTTATATCATAAATAGATGATAATGTCAATTCTCAAATAATTGGAAATAAATTTTCAAAAACACATGAACTTCAAACAACTTTATCTATTTGGATGTTTCAGACAATTAATTCAAGACTAGTCTTGACAGATATTATATTAATTAAATTAAATGGAAAGGATTTTGCAAATTGAATAAAGGTCAAATATAAAAATCTGTATTGTGATAATGGAAAAGATATTTACAAGTATAAAAATCTTTAATGATACAAATTGGTATTTTCATTAAATATTGAATATTTATTAGAGAAAATCTCAACCTTAAAACACAATTGAATTTATAGCTGAGGCATGGGATGAAGTAAAAACTACTATTATTTATAATTGTTGGCTTAAACCACAAATTTACCAGTTCCTACAAATGGGGTTGTTTTAGAAACTTTTGAATTGAACAAAAATCAAGAATTTGAAATTGTCGATTCTTTGGTTAATGAGATTATTGATGGCATGACTATTTAAATCATACTCAAAATCCATATACAAGTGAATTACTTGCAGAAGAACAAATAATTCAAATGGTCACCACTAATAATGATGAAACCAGAGAAACATGATGAAGAGTCACTTCAAATCAATGATAAGGAAGCACAAATATCTTTGAATACCTTTCTTAGTTATTTTGAACAACAAAAAAGTGATGCTAATTATTTTTGTAATTGTCTTTATAAATGACAGATAATAAATGTCATATGAGATCAGCAATTACAGGATTAAAAACCATCAACCTCCATAAGATCACGCCTCTCTACAGTCACAGGTTTTTGTGGGTCCCGAAAGTGTGACTTTATGGACATACTTTTGGCAAACATTTATGTGGCCAGAATTTTTTGTATTTCATTTCAGTGTAATATTGGGAAAAAGTGTGGACCGGGGAGTAATGTAGTTTCTTATAAAAACTATATATATTTGATATAATTTTTTTTCTACCAAAAACTTATCAAAAGGTTTCGCCTTTTCACATTTATTTCATATCATTTCGCCCATGTCTTCTACTATTATCTTTACCGTTAAGTATACTTTTGATATTTATGGATCAACATACTCATGAATTTTTCTTACCAATGATAATTTTGTGATTTTATTCTTGGACATAAAGAATGACGGTTTATTGTTTATGTAATACCAATATTTAATATTTGGAATTGTATGGATGTATGTAAATTTAATTATTATATGTATATCTAATTACTTGATCATTAATACTTGTATTATTATTTAAATTTATAATAACAATAAATTGGTTCATAATTTGTCAAAGTCGATTATGTAACTTCTTTTCAAAGCTTCCTTTTCATTCATAAGTTGATGGATATCAATTTTTGAGAATCAGGATTTACTCTGATTTGGATTAATTTGTTTAATCTACTTGTTAGCTATAACAAAAATAGCTATTACCAGTTTAAAAAATGTTTGATTTTGTCTTTCCCATAGAGATAGGTTTGAAATCAAAATATGGACAATGAAAAAAGAAAAGATGATGATAACAAATCAAAAAAGATTCTCAATTCTTGACAAAGATATTATTTATTTATGAATGTAAAGTCGATGATCACTATATTATTGGTTTTTTATTAATTTTAATAGGTGAATTGTATATATATTAAATAATAAATTTATATTTTAATGCTAAAAAATAATAATTATTATAATGATTCATCAAAGAATCAGATTTTTCTATTAAAAACTAGCTTTTGACAAATTTGTAAATTTAATTTCTATTTCTATTTCTATTTATAAAACCTTTTGTGCCCTCCAATCCATCCATTCATCCTCATATACTTCATCTTTATCATCTTCTTCACCCACGTCCACGTCCTCATCAACATTTTGATTTTTCGATTTTGTAGTAATCATCATTTTACTTTCACGGGATTTACGAACATTATTAGCAAACTCTTTTAATCGTTCTAGCCTTTTAATAAAACCTTCTTGTTCTCTTTCTTGCATCTCATCTCTATCTTTTTGTAATTCTTCATCATCTGCATTAGCTATTTGATCACTTAATTGAGTTTCTTTGCTTATAAGTTTTTGAAATTTAACCCATTCTTGTTCATCAACTTGATTAGATGACTTCTCCTGTGTTGTTGATATTGAACCTTTCAAACTATTACTGCTCCCAATACTACTATTATTGTTGTTGTTATTCATAGTTGGATCATCAAAAAAATCTGTGGGTAAATTATTTTTTTCTGATTTTTCTTCCTCTATCTTCTCCGGTTCTTTACCTTTCATTGACACTTCTTGTGATTGTTGTAACTTTTTATTTGAAGTTGTTATATTTTTATCAACATTTATAGGTTTGTTGGTAACAATTTCTTTAATGTCAACATTACTATTAAATTTTACCTTTTTGGCTCTTTGATTTTCTTCTTTATCTTTACTAATATTTATTTTTTCTTCCTCATCATTGTCGCTACTGTCGTAATTAATTATGCTTAATTTTTTATTTGTTTTTTCAGATGTTCCAATTGATCTTTTTTTAGGATTTTCCATATCTGATTAATATTATTAATTTATTTTAACGAAAGAATACATACAACTCAACCCAAATCAGTGCAACATACTTTGTAACAATTTGGAAAAGATTGGCAATATTTATATAGAAAGAATTGGCAACGATACTATCTCTCTTTGGAAATTTTCGAAAGAAAAGGAAAATTTTTGTTTCATAAAATTGATTGCGTTGTATAAATCTTTTGATCATTGATCATTGATCATGATCACTCTCCCAAATTTTTTTAAAATGTTCAGAGGTTGTAAAAAAAAAAAAAGAAAAAGAAATCACTTGATTAAAATCAAGCCTTTTCCAAAAATGTGTTGTTAAAGAAAATTAATTAAGCTTTTTTTGAAAAAGATCCTCTCCTGCAGCAAGAAATTAATCCATTATTGATTTAGTAATAGCATCGTCGCTAAAAAACAATTTGGATTCATTTATTATTTAAAAAAATTTTTAAAGAAATCAAGTTTTTTTTTTGAAAAGATTCTTGCCTTTTTGGAAAATGAAGAGAAATGTAACAATTTTATTAAAATATTATTTCTAATATTAAAAACGACCATGCCTTTTTTGAAAGCG